TTTTTTTTTGCATCTTGCAAAGATGTAAAAGATTTGCTTAGTATTCCCAACAAATCACCTCCAATGATTAACCATATATATATATAAGTTGAGGGAAATTATATCTCTCTTTTTCTCTCCATTTCCCTCTCATCTTTTTTGATTTTTTTTTTCACCTCCCTCCATTTTCCTCAATCCAAACATATTATAAATGATTAAAATAGTATCAATTTTGTTTAGAAAGAAATACTTAATTAGTTGTATATTAATCCAACTTTTTATTTATTTATTTATTTTATATTTCATAATAAAAGCACGTCTTCTTTCATCTCTTCACCTACTCACTCAAATATTATGTAATTCAAAATCAAAATATCTTATTTCTATTGAAAAAAGATTACAAATGAGTGGAATTAATCCAACCCTTTTAACTATATTACTAATGGATTATACATTCGCTTTTAGCAAATCTCAAATACTCTTAATTAACACATTTCTCTTATGTTAGATTAATATAAAATTTTCCTCTTTTTGTTTTAACTACAATAAAAATTTTTATTTTAACTACAATAAAAATTTTTATTTATCAACAACAAGCCGTGCTACATCTAAACATATAAAAGAAACTCTTATCTCATAGACAACCATATATAACACTTTAAACTTTAACCAAAAAAAAAAAAAAAAAAAAACCTAAATCATGGAGATATGCGAATCCAACAACCAATGATTTAAAAATTAGATTCATTAACAACCCAAAACTTTAACAAAAAAAAAAAAAAAAGATGTAAACAAACATACTAAATATAACATTTTCTTAGAACATTGCCCCTAGCTTAATTTCTATTATTCATCAGGCCCAACTCAACTCTCTCCTCTCAAAAACGGAGAGAAGAGAGTGGAAGTCTAAACTAATATAATCTTACTGCATGAGGTAGAAACAAGATTGGGGGGCATGAACTTTATAATTTTGAGCCTTTTTATAAGTAGAGAACCACTCTCATATCTCGCTCACATGCTCCACAATTAATAGACTTCTTTTCTAACTTCCTCTTCTAACGCATTTACATCCTAAGTTAAACACATCAAAAAAAAAAAAAGAAAACATTTTCTTTTCTCCAACAAGTGAGAAATCTTTGACTTCCCATGTGCTGCATTTGAGTTTTTTAATTTCGCAATAATTTTTTTATTTAATTATTGGACAATCTTTGAGAGGGTTACAAAATTGTTTAGATTAATGGGAAACTGGTGAAGTTTTCCACTAATTTTGACTTAGATTTAGTTTGACAACCTAATTTATAATTATAATTGTTGATTTTTTGTTTTTTTTTAATATGTTAAAAGTATATAAAATATATTTAATATATTTATTGTTTATTTTGATTAATATTTTATATATTGTTAGATAAAAAAAATACTAA